ACAGTAACAGAATTTAGTACGTTTTTGTCAATAACCCTCATAAACTTAAATAACTTATAGAAGGTGGCAGAGCAAATTTAGATGCCAAAATGGTCCTTAAAAGATGATTTTAGAAAGCTTCTTCTTACGCAGAAAAAAACAAGTTATATTTATTGCGTTTATATAAGCTTTGCATAATTAATAGCCCTCGTTGTCGGTGACGACAAAACTTGCGCTGACTGCTTTTCATATACAGACCCATTTTTCCTTGATTCCAGTGCCTTTATAAGTCACAATAAGCATACACAGATTTACGTTTGACTTTCAAATCCTCTGCAGCATCTTTACACACAACAACATTCTTTTGATAAATGATGGTCTCTGATCTGAGCGCGTGTCACGCAGAAAGTAAGTGAGAAACCATAAACGTTTTGAAATCAGAATGGGCTTGCCGCGAATACCACTGTTTAAGCACCTTACATATCTTGCTCATTGTATGCCGAAGGAGTTCATCGTGTGCTAAAAGATGATTATATCCTGGCGGCTCTAGGCCGTAAATATGTAATCCTTCTCGCCCCATTAAGGAGACAATTTGACTATGAATGTTTCAGTCTGCGGAATGGAAAAATTTTGTGCCGAAAGGGTTACAGAATGAAAAGGAAAGTATTTGCAACGAAGTGTAAACTTGTCAAGTATTGAGCCTAACTGTTTGGCTCTACGTCGATTGTGATCTACACAGTTCATGTATCGTTGCGCACAGCGACGTCGTCACCGCATTTCTTACAAACAGTGGCAAGATGGGAAACCTTTTTTGCCGTGTACAACTCTATCGTAACAAATTTGGATTTGAACTCGGTAAGGTATATCCAAAATCAGAAATTTCTCAATCGAGATGGGTCCAATTGATAAACTCGGCCAGACAAATAAAAATTCAAGGTTACTTGCATTCATGCAGTAGAAGCAGCTTTGCCTACTATTCAGCACGAATTAACGGATTGACGCCTTACTGCACACATTGTTGACGAATGTCGGCTGCAAAAATCTAGACAAATTAGCATCATGGTAGCCGCGGTGTTATACGCCTTTCGAAGCGGATGATTACTTTTTAAAAGCATATCGAAAATTAAAGTATAAGAAGCTGATGACTTGCATATTATTGCAATCAGTGTTTTTCGTGACAAAGACGACAACGTGCGGGCTACATTTTCAAAATGCCGCTCTGTCTCTAAGATCATAGCATTTTGAGCAAAAAAACTGTATAGAAATAACATTATGACAGCAAGAAGCTTATCTGAGAAAGCTCGGGATGTTGGCAAGTTATGCTTAATTAAGAAACTGTTGTAAGCCCAAAAAGATAAATTAGCATTTCGAACACACCAATTCACCACATAGCTCGAAGCTTTTATCATTATTTGCTCGGTCTCTCTAGGTAGAGTAAAGCCAACATCGTCAAGTATCGCCACGATTTGAAAGATCACAAAGAGCCATTAGGAAGAGCAGAACGGTGAGATTACCAGACTGGAGATTAAGTACAGACGAGGATCTTAGCTTGTCACTGTTCTAGTAAAAACGTCAATAAGGACACACAAAGGGCTTGAGCGAGAAGGAATGACTCAACGATTATCAGGGGTCGTGCGGATCCCGTTTGTGCTTTGCGAGAGAGACATTACGACGTGGTAACACGAGGCAGGCATCCGTACCGTCCTCAAACCAGGAGTGCGCAATAATTCACCAAGTTTCTGTCAAGTAACATGCCAACGGTCCAAACTATAGGGGTTGAGTGGCGCCAAAGACGTTTTCTCCCGTGTCGAGCACAAAGCAATACGAATTCTCTATTCGTCACTGATATTTCGCACCAAAGGCATATACTGACAGCTGGCGTAATGTGCATGCTTACAATGAGTTAAGCGCAGAGATCGTATCGTCGAAAACACCGATTTGGCAAGAGAACATGCTACAGAACTGTGAACTCGGGAGTTTTCTGTACGATGCTGTAGCCCTGATCAGTGAACCTCTTCATCACCTAGTGATGTCTCTCAGTGGAAGGGGATGGTTGAGCCCAGGGACAGTTTTTCGTACCAACGACGTTCGACCGAATGTTGTGACAACTAGTGAGGCCACGTCATGCCAATGTACATACCTATTTTGATGACTTAATTACCCATGCTTCTGCACAGCATGGGTAGTTAAATGTGGAGATCCACATATATCACTTGCAAGCGGTGCTTGTGTGTATGCGCTTGAATGTGCTTTTTAATCATAGACAAGCGTGTCTCTAGATAGTGTTTTGCTCGGTCAACAGCTTTAACAAATAAAGAACAATTGAATCTAATCTACACAACCCCTGCCAGTCTTATATTAACGTCAGTCATGTGGCGGCGGGGAGACGCATGCAGGGCTGCCTTCGAGACAGCGCAAGAAAGCCTCATGTGGGACCAGACTCTGACATGTTCAGGGCCATAGCCATTTCATGTCGCCAGTGAGTATTTGACTTTGTCTTGGTCGATGTATTGCCTGAAATTGATCACGATAGCATTATATGCATTAATATTTTTCAGCAAAAGCGGCATTGAATCAATCTTTTTAATGATAAAGACCTACTTGCTGTGAAGTACGCTCACGTCAAGGTCAGGGCAAACGTGATCGGCTTAATGCCGTTCACGATCGGTACGGATCGTGTACAGCGACTTATTAATATTTCTTCCGAACATTGGCAAGGTGACCGCACATTATTACCGAGAGTGATTTCGGGGTAAGTAAGGTAAAAGTCAAGTCGTCTTGACATGGTAAAAAATGGAGTTTTTGTTTCACTCAAACTGTGAAGTGTCTCATCTCACGTTTTTGACGACACGCATTAAATGCTACGCACAGCGTGCAGATCAGAGTAGTTGCATTCTTAAGAGCACTGGGACGAAATACTTTCATGAGTTTGGATGTCACTTTTCGATGCATTGTAATGCACTTCTGCAAAGGATATCTCTGGTTTAGGCCCGCTGTGCGAGCTTGTCCCACTTGAAACTGGGGTCTCGTGATAAAAATCTCGATCCCCTTAAGATGATCATCTAGAGAAAAGACATACGTCTTTGTTAGCGCTGTGGCAATCTCTTATATACCCACGGACATATCGTGTCAACTTTTGACTTATGAGCGGGTGCCTTTCGTAAGACTGACATTTCTGGCAAAGTGTTGGTATATATACGCCCAATTATACCAGTATTGCGGTCTTTGCAGACCGGATAAGCGTAACGGCTGATATCGTTGCTGTTAACAAAAAAACTTATCGATAGGGATACAGCCAGCTGTGTTTCGACAGAACATTATCTAGCACAGCTTGCCAATGATTGTTGTATATATTAAATCGAGATCGACGTCTTACAGTAGATATTCAGTAAAATGATATTTCGGTGTGTTGGGCGTCACGCGCCGAGTGTGCGACGTTATGGTGGAATCCAAAATGTGCAACGACAACTTGCAAATGCCAGAAGCAGACGGACACCAGCAGAGTTTG